TAAACTTCAGCGGGGAGTGATGCGCGTTGCAACACAGAACAAATCTGTAATTTAAAAATATGAATGTTTTAATAATATTGCAAAATGGATTTAGAGAGTCCCTCTCTCATAACCTGAAAAATGCAAACTGACTAAAACACCGTGTAAATGCTGCTAGACAAGATGTGTCGCTATTCTGAAATATCTGTAAAACACAGATATAATCCACATATAATGAAGTATGCCTATACATACCCAGTCCACCGGTATACTAATCAGGAAATGCACATTGGCTGAAAGAGAAGCCCAGGTTGTGTGTTAGGGCATAGTACTATTTCAGACTGCCAGACAGGCAGGGGGCTTCCTGAAATATAGAAAATACATTACAGACGGCATGGAACTTGCGGTCCAAAATAAGTAACTACACCAGGCTCCTGGGCTACAGCTGCTTGGTCTGCCGTCTCTATTACCGCCAAAGTCGCTTCTGTCCAGGCAGCTGCACCGCAGTACTTCCCAGTATAAGCACTGTTCCCTATACGCAGCGCTTCCTGCACATTATACTGGAGGCTCCTGGCATCAGGGCATCACAGCTCTGCCATAAAGGGAGACCCTGGGAGAGCGGGATGAAGGTACTGCTCAGACATGGGGGCACACAGGATCCATGTCCTCTAAGACACTCTCAAGCACATGTGGATACTGCAAATACCTGCTAGCTCTTCTTTTGTTACTATGTGAAGCAGAACAGATATATTTTGTTGTACACTGTTCGGCAGTCAGTAATGTCTCCCCTGGGCCGTTGTTTGTTTGCGATTGTACCGCAGCTTGCCTGTGCTGTTGAATATAAATACTATGTTCATTGTAAGACTGCACCCAAGCCCCGAGCTGACAGGAACCATTCCCACAATCAAATGGCAAAATGCATCACCCTGTAGCACACACCTCCCGAGCATCACTACAGTTTCTCAGTTTAAGCATTACATACTTATATAAAACTCCTCCCCTGCTCTTACTCTAATGCATTATAAGCATTGCACAAAGAAAAAAGCCAAAAAAATATATAATAATAATAATAATAATAATAATTGTAAGGACTAGTGGCCCACAGTATGCGGGAATCACAAACATGCTTATTGTAGTATTCAAAATGAATTATGTGTAAGTTCATATACGCATGCAGTCACATAACACATGCAGGTACATAACACATGCAGGTACATAACACATGCAGGTACATAACACATGCAGGTACATTCTTGTGCACACATGGCACTTGAGAAGCGTCACAAATGACTAATCAAACTAATCTCCCCTCTTGCCTCACTTTGCTTCTCTTTCCGTGCGAAACACGTAACCTTTATTTAACAATCGGCCCTTACTGTCCCCGCTGTTTATGCAAAGTAAAATCCTACTGGTTACTAATCGCATACCGCATAGCTCAGGCTCAAAACGCCATCCCTCAGATGTGAGGATGCTTAAATGCAGGTCGACACCTACATCTCCAGACATTTAAGGGCAAAGCAGAGTCCACATTAGGTGAATGAACACAGAGATATATGGGACAAAATGGGAAGGGGTCACAATTTAACAGATGGAACAATATAACCCATTTAATCACATTCATTCATTCTGGATTTTAGGACACAAGTAACTGAACTGATGAAAGCACGCCATGCACAATACTGGCCATTAACATCCAGTGAGTTACCTCATTGCTTAAAATTGATCACACAAAAATGCATTTGCTAAATGCACTGTTTCATTTTAATCTGAGGCTATATCTTGCACTTAATTTATGAATGATCCATATGTGCACACAATTGTAAGGGTAGTAAAAATAATATATAAACCTTGATGTTACTGCCAGACATGCAGTGATTTAATTAAATAAACATGATGATTTTTTAATCAAGCAAACAAATGTAATTTTAATGCCCTTTAAAAATGTCTTCCAATGAAAATTTAAATTTTGTCTCACTTGAGCCTACTCCGCCTTTCTCTAAGTTCAATATGATTTTCTTATTTACAAGTTAATGGATAACATCTAAACTTTGAGGGTTCAAAGGGTCCTGCATATAGAAAATTGCCTGAGCAAACTGAACGCCAAACGTTTGCCTTCAAATGAATAATTAACTATGATTTAACGACAGCTTGAACTGTTCCTATTGAAAGTTGTGCAATGCTGGCGAAACGCCAGGCAGCACTGAAATTATTCAATACATTTACTTATGTCTTGTTCCCTCTTGCTTTCTACATGCGCCCTGTGATAAAACCAGTTTGGTCTGCTCTTTTACTTCATTCTGGTGGTAAGAAGTATCTTCGACTTTCAGATGCGATTAGTCATATTTGTCTCGATTTACACACCGCCCCGCCTTTGTCAGTCTTAAAATAACCAGTTAATCTCCCGTTACTTTACAGGAATGAAAAACTGTATTTAAATTTTCCTAAAGTTGATCATTTCTTTTTAATTGTAGCAGTGCGATACGCCGTTTTCATTCCGATTTTATACCACCCTAGCGATTTGTCATGAAATGAAAGATTTTTTTTTTCTTTTTACATAATATCTTTGGTTCGCCAGTTACAAAACTTTTGCTCTCTACGGCTTCGAAAATATATCTGATGTAATGCATGAAGCAGTGTTTACAGATACCAGCATACATCGATGTATCCGCTGAAGACCATTTTTGAAGAATATAAGGGGAAGTCGTATAGTATATTACGACCTGAAGATAGTCGCCTGTCATAAAGATGTGTAGAACCTTTGTGTATACGTGCTTATTTAATCTCACGATCTTTAAGGAAAGGGCGAATGTTACGACAGCTGATTATATAAAACTTTGATATCACGAAGCATAAATGCAAAACAATGTCGATTGCGATATCGGACAGTCTTTGCTACTGCAACTAAGTTTCACAAACCTAAATACTTTTTAAGTTAAGGTTAATGCGTGCTCAAAGGACTGAAAAACTAAATGAAGCCCAATTTGCAATTATTTATTTATTGCATATTGTTTAATGGTATGAAATGAAAATAAGCACATACATGAACATCACATATGGTTAGTGAGTGAAATAATTTTGCACAGCAAAATATATATAAATGAAGAAATGTTTCAATTAACATATTTAAAAAATTTATTGATGGATGATATTTCCCCATTTTCCACAATCAGGGTATCAGTCTAAGCCTAATTCTTAATGTCCAGACATAGCTGATCAATATATTATTGCCTTGAAAATTATGGATTCGGTTTGAAAAATATCTAGTCCTGTATGACAATACAACTATTAAAATCGCATCGTTAATTTCTCGAGCAATGTCCTGAATGCTTTTTTAATATTAGCGTTTTGAACAGTTTCCATTCTGTAATACAGGATTGTAAGTTATACTTTAGTGCAATTCAGTCCAAATACTTCAATTCTTTGAGAGGAAAACATTTGCAAACGGATGGTCGTCTCCGCTGAGCGAGTAGAAGTCTCTCTCCATATAATACTTTGGCTTAAAATACAGTCAGTGGTACGTATAACAAGGGCTACATCTGTCAAGCTTCTGTTTTAATTGCAAGCACATGCCGCAAAGCTGTTTTCTTATTTAAAAACCCCGTTTTATTTTACAGATTTTAACCCCCCTCCCCCCGACATTAACAAAAGAAAGACACGGAACAATTTAGTGCATAGGACCATTATAAAACCTACATCTAGAAAACCTAAGTTATCTACCACATTCCTTTTTAATTACAACCTGCTGCATAACCATATTAACTCTTAGGCTTACAGATTATAAAACTATACTTAAATTATATACTAGGAATCCATAGAATTCCAGAGTTACCAAATGCATATAGATGGGGTACTTATTCAAATAAACAATCCGCTTTAAGCAATGAACAGTTTTAGTCCCCAAACGGGATTTCCTTTTTTATATAAATGCTTAAGTCCTTTCCCCCTTGACAACGAGGAATACAGTCTGACAACTTTCAATGGGAATGCGTCATTGCATTCATTGTGTAAAAATGGGTGTAGATTCCGCAAAGCTAGTCTAACTAATCAGACGCATGGAAGGTGATGTGAAGGATGTCCCTCTCACTTTTTTGCTGCAGTCCCAAAAAAGTGATGAGGCGGTAAAAGAAAGTTATGAATACCATGCCGGAGTCATCCAAGAGAGTTCCTTCTCAAGCACAAAAAAGAAGGGAAAAAAAGAAAACCGTACATGTCCAGCATGCAGGGCCTTTTAATAATAAGTAGTCTCTTTATAAACGATGTATGCATTCATCTCTATACAGTTTTTGTTGCTGCTAAACAGAAGAGTAAGCGTAATGCATGAGATGAAAATGGGTTGAAGATGGCAACAAAATCTTCCGAGTTTCGCTTACAAAAAAAGAAAAAGCAAAAAAAAAAACCAAACAAACCAAAAGAAAAACCGCTCTACAGTTTTTACTTGCATTTGATTTTAGCAGGTGTTTTATGAATATATTTCTGTTTTAAGTATAATGATAAAAAAGGTAAACTCAAGTTGATGGACTCCACCTTTGTATACATATAAATAAGCGCGTGCGAAATCGCACGCACGTATACATTATAAGGTCAAACATCAACTATAGAAAAATGTAAAACTATGTTGTATTTATTAATAATAACACAGCAAGCCAAAAGAAAAAAGAAAAACGAAACAAATGTAGAAACAATAATAATAATAATAATNTGGTGGCAGGTTTCAAAGAGCCGGCTCCAAAATGAAGAACCAAGTTCAATCTTTCTACTGTAACCCCCACCACCCCCCCCCCCCCCCCCCCCCCCAAAAAAAAAAAAACTCACGAAGAACGTTACGTTGTCAAGCTTGAGCAAACCCCGATTCTCATAAAAAATGAAAATAATTTAAAAAAAAGGACAAAAAAAGTTGGCAAACTTGTTTCTTGGTCTAGCAAGCCCCATACAAAAATAATTCACACGAAGAACTTTTATGACGGGGTTGACAAGCTCGATGTGTGTGTTTTTTTCTTTCTTTCTTTTTAGCGGAGACTCACATGAAAAATTCTGGAGACGAAGGGTTGTTGTCACTGCTGGAGCCGTTTTCTCTGAAGCCATTGCTGATAAGCTTCTCGTATTTTTCCTTGTAGGCATCCCTCTCCCGGACCAGCCTGGAGATCTCTTGTTTGAGGTGATCCACTTGCTGAATTAGCTGGGTCTTCTCGCCTTCCAGGACGTGCCTCTGCTGGACCCTCTTGTAGCGGCATGACTGGGCATAGCCTCTGTTTTTGAGGGTTCTCCTCTTTTGTTTAAGCCTGATCACTTCTTCTTTGCTGACCCCGCGTAGCTGCCGATTGAGCTCTCGCACTGACATAGTCACCAGCTGATCGTCCGTAAATCGGTCATCCAAATGCATATGTTGGTGATTTCCTCCCGAGTTTCCGTTGGAGGGGATGCCTGGTGCTTGGTGATGTCCTCCGGCGTGATGGTGATGGTGGTGATGGTGTGGACCCCCATTCTGCGCTGCAGCAGCCGCGATAACTGCGGATACTACCGCAGCTGCCGAACCAATTTCTTCCCCGGCCATAGTGCCTCCCGATCCGGCTGCACCGGGAAACTGCTGCCCTCTAGCATAACCATCGAAGCTCTGAAGCTGATGACTGCTGTTGATCAGCGCCTCCACGGCGTCTTCGGGGCTGAAACCCAATGCCTCCGGGTTCAGCTGCTGTTGGTAACCGGTCATCCAGTAAAAATCCTCCAAGTGCGCCTTCTGTTCGCTCCCGGAGCCCGGACTAGGCGCCGAGAAGCTTGGAGAAGGAGGTACCGAACTGCAAGGCGTGCTCATCGGGGTGGAAGACAGGGATCCCCCGGCGATCAGGCGGCTGCACTGGCTGATGCTGCGATCGGGCTCCACCGGCTCCTTTTTCACTTCAAACTTCATCAGATCGAAGTCATTAACATATTCCATGGCCAGGGGACTGGTGGGCAGGTCGGAGTTGCTCATTGCCAGTTCTGATGCCATCCTTTTGCTGTTGACAGTCCTCCAAAGGGGGTGAAGAGCAGCTGTCAAACTGTTCTGGTTTGAAAGAGTGTGCGCCAGCTTGATATTTATTTATTTATTTCAAACCAAGAAAAAAGGTTTTCAATTTGCAGCGACAATCTTTTCCTAAATGATTTTCCCTTTGCAGAGTCTATTGCACAGACGCATCAGAGCGGTGCGCGCGTCTCGCCCTTTTCCTTTCAATGCATGAGAATATCGGCAGCCTTGTATTTCAAACATTAACACTTCATGGCTTCTTTAAAAATATACTGCGTAAATTGGAGACGGTAGAAGATGCAAGTAGTAGACAAACTGCAGTCTTGTAGAAAAAAATAAATACCCCGGGCTTGTTGGAGAATTTTAAAGGCTCACCCAGCAGATGAGTTTAAAAGCATTGCTGAGTTTTATAGCCGTCCTGACGTCAGTTTGAAATGGGAAATTGACTCAGACTCGGAGCCAATGGGCTCGCTCACTCTGAAAGCCAATTAACATAATAGTACAGAAACAAAACTTTTCAACTGTCAGGGACTATCAGCTGACTGTCAGCTGGGACTGAAACGCTTAACTCTTTCGCACCGCCGTACGTGAAGTAAAGAAATGTAATAAAAACGTTTAAATTGAGGTATAGTGCAACTGAATGCCGCGTAGGTTACGTTTGACTAAGCAGTCCAGCGGGGGAGAAATATCCCTGTAAGCGTAGTATTGCACAAACAGCAATATTGCAAAAAGCTGGCAATAATGAAATAACTAGCGTAGCGAACAGGAATAAAATAAACAGTATTTGTTTACGAATGTTGTGCAATGAAAAATGTCCGAAAACTCTCATTATGCGGGTGATATATTTTACAGGACGGCTAACTTAAATGCATTAGCAACACATCAGACTGATTTAATATCGCAATTGCTCGATCGTATATCGTTGTACGCGCACATATTGCCCTTGTAGGCGGAAAGTATTTTAAAACGTGCGTAATGTGTGTCAGGGTGTGCATTTACTTGTGCGGTCTTTTCCTCATATTTTTTTTCTTTAAAAATACGTTCAAGTGTTCGTTTTGTATGAGATACAGTAACCCCGAATTCTTAACAAAAACTATTCAGATTAGCGTTCACATTACTGTATGAAAACGTTGATTTTTGCGTAAAATCGGTTAATGCAGTTACACGAATACTTATTAAATTATGTTAGCTTGCTAATTAATAAAATTATTAACCATTCATTAGTTTGTCTAAACGGTAAAGAGAAGAAAAACAATTCTGCATTTTGAAAACTCAACAGTGCCACCTATTGGAAAACAAGGAACACTTTAGGGGGAGAAATTTAAAGGAGTAGCGATGCAGTTATGTCCCACTGTATTCAGCAAAAAATCAAACAGCCAAACGAACACAAAATAACAATACATCCCAAGAAAATGTAAATGTCACCAGGCTGTCAACGTGCATGAATGCACGATATTTGTAACGTTAATTACTTAACTGAGAGAACTTTGCAATATTTTTTATGCTTCAAATGCAGAAAAGTGCTACAGAAAATGCTCACCAGATTCACTTAAAAATATTGGCATTTAATGTTTGTGGTGCTTTGTGCCATTTTAGAGCAGCACGTGCCAGTTTTGGTCAGTCTGTTAATGGTAGTTGGAGTGTGGCTTTGGAGTGGAAGCTCATGATAACCGGTGACTGGTAGTCTGTACTATCCAATGTCAGGTTACTTTCTGTGTGCCATTTGTCTTGGATGGAAGTGTGGAATAATGTGCGGGAGACGAGGGTTAGTCAGTTTGTGGTGTTTTGTGAATATGGGTCAAGTTATGTCATTTGCTGGAATTAGCAGAAGTAACGTACAGCACATGAAGCAGTTTTGCCTTTCGTAGGCAATCCTTGTTAAAACAATTCAGTGCAATTTCATTTTCACTCTGTCTTTACAGTTAATTTGATTTGATGCAATTTAATATTAGAGAAGCTGTCAAAAACAGCTAGGCTATAGCTGCTGCTGCTGCTAATATGTCCTCCTCTGATTTAAATCATAAGAGTCCAATACAACAGTAAACATGAAAAGGTACCGCGTTCCTCCATTTTGTTTTGCTGTCAATTACATCTTGCATTTGAATTGTCAATTATTCTTGCATTAAAGTTACTACAAACAGAGGATACATAAGACATAAGAGATGGATCAAATCCAGGCACAAAAGTCTTGTTTTAGCAGATTCCCTTTTAATGGCCTCTGTGGTTATGATGATGTGGTTAACATTTGCTATAACTCTGCATTGGACTATATGTTCCAAAGATTGTGTGCATGGCTGTAAAGTTGTTTATCTAAAGAGTAATTCCGTGAAGCCTGACTTTTGACATTTAGTCATATATTAAACCACTTTCTTGTACATTGCTCTTTATCTGGAGTTCAGAGGGCAGTTGCCTGTCTTTCATTCACTGTGTTTGGTGATCTCTGCCTCACTCACTGTGACTTGTTCTGCATGCCCTTCACTCACTATTTATGCTGTTTTCTGTTTCTTCTTTAATTTATTGTCTGTTGTTGTCTGCCTTTCTCTGTGTTTAGTGTTTTACCTGTCCTTCAGCCTCTGTGTTTGGTGTTGTCTGCCTTTCTCTGTGTTTGGTGTTTTGCCTGTCCTTCAGCCTCTGTTTGGTGTTGTCTGCCTTTCTCTGTGTTTGGTGTTTTGCCTGTCCTTCAGCCTCTGTTTGGTGTTGTCTGCCTTTCTCTGTGTTTGGTGTTTAACCTGTCCTTCAGCCTCTGTGTTTGGTGTTGCCTGCTTTTCTCTGTGCTTGGTGTTTTACCTGTCCTTCAGCCTCTGTGTTTGGTGTTGCCTACTTTTCTGTGTGCTTGGTGTTTCACCTGTTCTCCAGCCTTCCAGCTTCTGTGTTTGGTGTTTTTGCCTGTCCTTTACTCACTTCATTGTGTCCCTCTGGTTGTAGCCCTGAGTTTTGCTTCATTCCTAAGAACATCACAGCCTTCCTCGCAGCTTCAAACAGCACAGTATACAGGCTGCTTATTTGGTACCATGACATAGGAGTACAGTGATCCTGAGTTGCTTACCGTCTCCCAAAAGCTCACTTTTAGGTGGCCACACTGACACAGAGAATATAACACCATATCGCTACCTTGCCTCATGTATCAATTCACAGCACGGCCAGGAGTTAAACAGGCAGGATAAATACAGTGACACACAGCAGTTAAAAGCAGATTCCAATTTAATTTTATGGCCCATTTTGCTTCACCACGGTGCAGATATTGTTTTTTTTTTTTTCATGCCAGCGTCTGTGAAGGACCATCCTGCACACTGTAGCGATGCTGCACAGGCGTTCACACATATACAGATTGTCATACATGATGAGAACCTTCCCAGGGTGCCATTCCAGTGCAGCATTGATTAGCTCAATGGAATAAACTGTACTGCTTTTCTTTGTGACTCTTTGGACAGCATGCTACTGCAGTGCTCTGATGTTGCTTTGACAAATGGCCTTTCCCTGCAACGTCAGCCTATAATCATGTACCAAATGTCTTTCATGTGAAACCTGTGATCTTATCCTAGACATTCAGGATATTTTACTAAGTTTGGTAATCACAGAATAGTGAACCAAAAAGAGATTCCTTCCAGTGATTTCTCTGGACAACACATGGGAATTGGAGCTTTCAAGAAGTATATTTTGCTTTTTATGGTGCGATGATTTGCATGAATCTAAAAAAAAAACCAAACAATAATGACAGTCAATTTTTTTTTAACTCTTTAGAAATATAAGACACAGAAGCTAGGAATGCTCACAGGTCAGATGAAAGAATATGGACATCAACAATACAAGAGCTGTTAAATTAAAAGGCAGGACCTCTGGACTGACCACTTAATCCAAGTTGCTGATCATGTGAAAAGCAGTAAGGTGTCTTGTGCAAGAACAATCCATCACTCGTTATCTGGTTAATTTGGTTAAAAAAAAAGGAATTTATATGTGTTGCGTGGCTCTTTTTCACCTGGCTCTGACACTCTCTCCCACACCTCCCACTGCATCTCTGACCAGTCATGGACCCTATAAAGGACACGCTGGTGCAAGCCAATGAGCTTGTGTAAAGCTTGTGTGAGCAGAGTGAGGCTACTCCGCTGTGTAGGGCACTGCTAGCTGAGGTCTGCTGAGGGGCTGAGAGCTCGCAGTCTGGCCACCTGGAACGAGGCCTTGCTGGGGCCACCCCCTCAATCACTCCCCAATCACCCCCCACCCTGCTCCCTTCTGAGTCGGGGGGGGGCGAACCGTACCTTGTGGACTGAGAGCAAAGAGCGTCGAATCAAAAAGATCTGGGGAGGCGAAAGGATGAAAGCAGTACAGAAAAGGAGGGAAATGAGGTTATCAATAAGGCAAATGCGGCTTGGCTGCGATTTGTATGGGCGGCCGGGCCTCACTGTGCCTGCTTCTGAACTGTGGCAGTTAAAAAAAGGGGGGGAAGAAAAGGACAGGGTGTCTTAGTGAAGCATGGCTGAATCTTCAATACGGTGTGAAATCCTTGGGAGATTAACAAATACGTGCTATCAAAATAAGAAGTGCGAGAGAGGAGTCGCTCGGAGAGCTGTAGGCAGCCAACGCCTCCGCTCAGCTTCCAGAATGATCTCCCGTCCCTCAAACGACGTGTTTCCTCTAGTATATTCACCGGTTTTGCGGAAAAGGTGTTTGTGGAAACAGTGCACACCAGCTTATCCATTCATCACATGCGCCATTGAAGGGTTCGTCGTGATCCCGCAGCCTACCCCAGGAAGTTCGGAGCACGAGCAGACACCCCGGGCAGGGTGCAAGCTGTTTTTGTTCAGTAGAAACTGAGTAGTTAATATTTCCGACAGTGGCCCCTGTTAATAATGGAGCACAGGAACTGTCCAGGGCAGGGGCGTTATTAGCTATTGCAAAGATCAGGCTAAGCCAAGTTTACCTGAGACTTGACTTCTTTTTTTTAAGGAAGCGTGGCATTGGGGCTGATCATTTAATCAGTGATCGGACCTAATGACGCCCCTGGTCCAGGGTTAGGGAACTATAATGGTGTCCAGTTGTTTCCAGGCAAAGGGGAGCTTAAGTAAGCAGCTGTGATATAGCTGGGGCAGTGAGTTTGGAAGTGACTTTGCATAAAGCCCCGCAAAGAGCCTGCATAGTGCCAACCATTCGTCTCAGATGATAAAGTGGCTCCAATCTTATCATCTAGGCGTTAGCAGCTCGTAAGAAACAAAACAGTGAAATGTGGTTCCCAGACCTCTCCTCAAGCCCCCCCCCCCACGGCCATCCCATATACTTGTTACATTTAATATCCAGGCATTCTGATTAAACTAATCAGCTGTAATTCAAGCCGAATGTGAGAATGCGAGTTATTGCGGAGGTGCATGGCTGAGGACTCTGGCTGGGGATGGATGTGGGGTGCGATCCTGTAGGCTCAGAAGTGAGCTTTACTGGTTATCAGAGATTAGTCCAAATTTCTAACATG